CCGATGTTGACGCGCCTTTCCGGTCGCTGGTGGGACACTTGATGTGGCTGGCGAATCAGACTCGCCCGGATATTCTCAACGCGGTACGTGCCGTTGCGAGGTATTCGCACGCGCCGAAGCGATTGCACTGGCAAGCGGCTTTGCATGTCTTGATGTATGTTAGATCCACGAGCGGGTACGGTATTACTTTTCAGAGGGGCATGGTAGGAGGAGACCACATGGAACTTTTTGTCGATGCGGACTTCGCCAGCAAGGCAACCGGCCGGCGGTCTGTTTCTGGGGCACTACTAGTGATGTTCGCTAGTGCGTGTGTGATGTATCTGTGTAGGACGCAGAAGAGCGTCACCCTGTCTTCGACGGAAGCGGAGTACGTGGCGATGTCTGAGGGGCTGAAGGAGGCTATTTTTCTGCGGTATCTCTGGAGTTTTATCTTTCCGGACCGTGATGTGGGGTGCACTCCGGTGTGGGAGGACAATCAATGTAGGCGCTATTCACTTGGCAAGTAACCCGGCTACGACCCCTAACTCGAAGCACATCGACATTCGCCACCATTTCATCCGTGAGCGTGTCGCGCGGGGCGAGTTCAAGGTAGTCCACGTACGTTCGGACCTACAACACGCGGGTTTCCTGACTAAACCGCTCCCCAAGGAGGCTTTTTGCGCGCATCGCGACTTTGTGATGAATATTCGTTGGTTTTGTTCTTTGTGTTTTCAGCGGGGGGTCCTTTTCCTACGTGATGTGTTTTGTGAATTTATACTGGCCTTTGATTTGCTGTTGCTATGTATTCTGCTTTCTGGTACGTACGATGGATGAGGTAGTTCTGCACGAGAATCATGGGGGGGGGGTATTGGTATTGTTCCATGATACTAGTCGCAGGTGTTTTATTTGTTTTGGACTTGGTTTCATGTTCGGGATGGATGTTACAGCAGGGGGGCTGCTGGATTGTTGATTGTCTGCTCTGGATTATTTGTTGGTTTCTGCATGGTTGTTTTGGATTTGTTTGTTTGGTTCCTTCGTGTTTGGGATGGATGTTACAGCAGGGGGGCTGTTGGACTGGTATATTTGTCAAGGTATTGGGTATTGAAGGAAGGATTTGGCATGTTCTCGTAAGTCATGGTTGAAGACTTTGTGCTTACGAAGGTTATTTGAGCTGGTCAATGAGTTGAAACATGAATGTTTATCTGAGGAATTTATTCTGAGTTAAGTCAGGACGTTGGACACGTTTTCCCGGAGTTACCCATCCCCTTTCTGACGTGATTCTGATGTAATGTGTATCTTTGCTGGGTATTCTTCCACGGGT